ATTTCTAGTATCGAGTCAACGGATATATAAGCTGCATGTATGTTTTCAGAGGCCATTCAGATTTTGGAAAGGCATTGATAAACAAAAATTTTAAAAAGGAGTAAATCGTCCGAAAAAGGAGATGGGTGAACAAGGCGTGCAAAATATCTATAGTTTCAAATATTCAAACGTCATATTCAATTTGTGAATTTGTGAATTAAGTTCCTTGTATGAGGTACCTATCACTGAAAGGTATGCAATTATAGCAAACTAAACATTTTGCGGAAAATTTCTTCGTAAAGAATCATTTTATGATTTAAAAAAAAAGTGTGGTATTCTTGAGGTTCGAACCCAATATAAAAATCCTGAGTATCACTTTTGATTGGAGACTAATAGGCTTACTACTACGCTATACTGCTAATAACTAATATTGACAGTTTAATTGTTTGTGATATTAGCCTTGACGAAATAGACCTAAATATTTCTAAAAGATATTAGAATTCTGAGTCATAATAGTGTATTTTTAAGATATAGTGATTCTTACTCCCTGTTTTTTGTTAACTGAGAATGTATAATTTTACGCATACTTTGAGTATAATCCTTAAAAGAAATGGAGCGAAGACCCATTCATATGGAAAAATTGTGTGTTTGAGTATGAAGAATTTTTGCCCTTTTTTGCCCTCTTTGGTGTATGTATGCTATTTCATAGACAAATAATTCCGAATATTTTTCTGAGATTGTTAGGATATGTGGAGATATTATAAAAAGTGATGTTAATGTTACATGAAATATCAAAGAAAATTGTGTCATAATTGAGATTTTGTTTTCATTTTTTTATATGTCGCGCAATAGGCATTTTACTCGCCTTTTTCTCCCATCTTCTTTCACAATTAAACCTTGAACATATATACAACCACTCTATCTGACGCTTTGGGTATAATAGTCTAAATCTATATTGCAAATTTCATAGGAACTGCACAATATACAGAATGGGATGTAGTGGTAATTAAGAACCATCTATACACTGTACACTGGAGATCTACTTCCTTAGTACATAAACAAGATGTCCTCTATTAGTTTATATACTTGATTCGACTGAACATTTTGCTCCTTATGAGATCTCCCCAAAAGTACTTAAACATATTGTTACAGCTCTAATGAAACCAACTTACATATGTACAAAACTTAAAAGATATTTTAATAAAATAAAACCTTATATATACCCGATATTTGAAAACATCACCAAATGTAAAGCAGTCGGGGTTTTTAACTTTTTCGCTAATCAGTTTAAAATTTCCAAATCTTGCAAAAAAGGCAGTAAATAAGATTTGTTTTCCATGATAATTCGTATTGTATTGCTGACTGATGTTTTTCATACTAATTGTTCGGCCGTTATTTACACAATGAATTGTCAACGGATTTTTCCGTTATTTTCCGATCATGACAAGGAGCACACGACGGGTGTGACCGGTCAGCAGGGGATGCTCACTCCTCCATGACACCTGATCCCACCTCTGGTGTTTTAGAGGTCCTTGTTTGTTCTGTTCCTGATTCGTTTTGTCTGAATGGACGTTTGGGCTTGAATACTGTTCCTTATCTCCATTTATTTCATTCAAGACTAATGGAATGAATGATAAATCCTTACACTGCATTCAGAAAGAAATCAAGAAGTTTTCCTTGATGATTTTTTTGAAAACATCTCTGACAGAATTGTACAAAACAAAATTTTACAAAATTTCAGTGCTTTTAATCTTTATTTCTATCTTAAACAAGTTACGTAATAAATTGATGGAATAACATTATTTTCAATGACAAATACATGTATTATATTTTTATTTTAAAGATTTCTAAATTTAAACAAAAGAAAGAAAGGGAAATTAATCACCTTGATTTACCTCATATGCGAATCATGATCAACTTATGTATGTGTGTGTTTTAAATTTATATCTTACTATGTCAACTTTGTTATCAATATCTAATGTAGCTGCACCAATTCGGTATGAGTGTCCTTTAAAAAGTTTTGTATCATAATTTAAATAATTTAGTGATATCTTTAATTGCTGTGTAAAGTACTGTCTTGAAATTGGCGACTTATCCTGAAACATGAAACGTGGTTCATCACTACCTCTTCTTAATTCTTTGTATTCCCACATTGCCAAAACTGCACATAATTGTGGTTTGTCTTTGTTGGCATTTAAATGAAATGACACAGGTGGTTTTCCTCTATGATGTTTAAAATCAACCATGGTCAAAGTCATACATTCTGGTACACCATTCCGTTGTTTCTCAAATGACACTGCTGATAAATGTAAAGTGTTATTTATCGGAGAGGTAATTTCTCCCACCCTTAAGAATGCATGGAATGCTAATAAAAACATCGCCTTAAGGACAGATGATACAAAAAAAAAAAAAAAAAAAAAAAATGGATGCCTGGACTGGTATATATTTTTTGACCTATTTTGATTGCAAATGATTTGAATAGTAAATTTCTAAAATATTAAGAAATTGTAAACTTTCTGTGATGTCCATAATTCCACCTTTCTGTAACCATCCATAATAATCTTTGCAAATTTTTGTCACTTTAAATCAGATTATTGTGAAACTTTGAAAGAAAAACAAAAATCTATGCAGTTAAACTTACTCATTTTACTTATAAAAACATGAATTAAGAACCCTCTCTACACTGCAAAGTAAAGAGTTCTGATTCTATGGTATTTTTCTGCAGTTAGAGTGATCTGCCCTTAGAATTAAATTCCAATAAATTGAAATTTACAGTATATTACTCAATTTGTAATCAATTCAAGTAATCCTTACATTTTAAAAAGGCAAGATAAATTAATTGAACACTTTATTTGCATGTATTTTCTCCACAGAAGTAAACAACAGTAATGTCTGTTCATTGATACTTGATTGTCTTCGAACATTTTTCCTGGAGGTAAATGCCACGTACCATACTTTGAAAATTAATCAGATAAGCTCAATATTTACAACTTTATTCAATATAATTTTCTCAGTGTCCAAAAAACATTTTGCACTGGTGTATAGAGGGTCCTTAAATTGTTATTTTCAAAACTTTTGATAAAAGTTTGTTTGTATCATCTGTCCTTAACAAGAGTTCCCTGATAAAATGACTGAGTACACTTGGGTAACGAGTTTATTATTATCTGCAATATAACTGGCGTAATGGGAAGGCGAGTATCTGGTCTAGTCTTGAATTTCGCAAAATCCTTGAATTGTACGTTTCACAATGAAATTTTGAGTTGGATCAAGATAACCTCCATTTTGTGAAAATGTGCCAAAGCTGACATGTGTGTGATAACCGTCTGAGGCGAAAGTTCTTTCTAATAGCAATAAGAAATGAATAAAACCAACTGTTCAATTGTCATTGGAAACATTGGGGTTCCTGGAAAGTAGCTTGGATAAGAATTTATTGCAAGTCAGCTTGGCTCTGTTGTAAGAATTCCGCGTTTAAACCGTCAAAGCATTTTCTGCCAAGTATATTGAGATGGACTCTAGAGCTTGAACATCTCCTCTGGTACTGGTGTCGACTGGTGATCCATATATGATGCTAGTCTGTGAAACTCCAATATCTGCAAATGAGACAATTTGTCACTGAGCACATTATTTACTCCTGGAACATGTTTAGCAACAAACAATATACAGAACTTTAAACATCGCACAATAAATTAACGCAGAAGTTTCATAATAGTTGTTCCTTTGGCTGTTTGTTTATTTATCACCTGCACAACACCCATGTTATCTGAAAAGAAACACACTTTTTTAATTTGACATATCTTGTCCCCATTACTTAACAGCTACCACAATAGGAAAAAGTTCTTTTATAGTTATGTCATAGCTATGCCACTCTGAAATCCACTCCCCATAAAACCATTTGTTTCTAAAAATACCACCAAACCCTAAGCCACTGGCATCCGTGTACAGTTGTAAAGTTGCTGATGTTTGCCATACGTCCTTTAGAAACAAGAATTTCCATTGAAGTTTTCAAGGAAGATTAACCATGCCTCTCGATCAGCTTTAGCTTTCTTGTTTAGCCGACATCTGTGGTGTGGTTTATGTAATCCCTTAGTCAGGTCAATTAATCGGCGAAGAAAATTGCGTCCTTGCTGTACTATTTGCACAAGCAAAACTAAGGAGTCCCACTAAAAACTGAAGTTCATGGAGAGTAATCTTTTGTCTTTGTTTGTACAGTGAAATTTTTCCCTCATTTTTTGCAACTTATCAAAAGGTATTCGGATCTCTATATTGATAATATCTGCTTCCAGTCCTAGAAATGTTAAAACAGTTGTAGGAAGCACAGATTTTTCTTGCTTTAGAGCCAATCCTATCTGTTTCATCAACTTCAAAAATAACTCTAGCTGACCAGTGCACAGAGGAAGACATGGGGGGCCAACTAATAAAATGTCATCTAACATATGTACAAAACCCTCAATACCTAGATTATTATTGATAACCCAATGCAAAGAATTTGAAAATCTTTCAAAAAGATTGCATGCTGAACTTAAACTCATAGAAAATGTCTTATCAATGTCAGTATTCACAAGCAGAGCACCTCTTCCAAACCGTTTAATCAGTTTAACAACATTATCTACGGTTTGATATGTCACAGCAGAATATTCCTTTGAAATTCGATCATTTATTGATGACCCTCTGGATAGGACAAACGATGTATAACTCTGAATTCTCCCTGCTTCTGTTTAGGCACCATCCACAGTGGAGATATTTGAAGGTTGTTAAGATGTAAATTATCAATTGTAAATGAATCAGCTGCACGCCCTTTATGAACTTCAATATCAATTTTTTGTTGAAGAATATTTATGTTTTCTACGGCCTATGGAAGATTTTTACTATACCTAAATTGTCTTGGTCCAGTATAATTAATTTTGAATCCAAAAGTAAAACCATCTAACAGAAATTACAATTCTTCAAAGTCATAACCATGTAGCCAAAACTTTAATGCTCTTGCATCAACAGGGGTTATAACAATATCATTTAATCTTATATCACTTTCTAAATAGGCTTGCTCGGTTTTGATGTTTACTAGAGTTTGCAATGAGTTTCTTGTTGGGCTCTGAAAACATGCTGCACTCTTTCTTTGGGTGCTCTCCATAACATCTGTTGCAGATGTGCGCGTACTCACAGTTTGGTCGAACACAGTCCCCATTATTGTTGTTGCAGCTGAAGCATGGCTTATTTTTCCCACGAAAGGACTGCTGGCTCTGTGTTTTCTGTTTGTCTGTTTTTTCATTCATGTCTAACCGACTTTTAAGTCCAACTTGTAATGCCTCTAAGTAATGTTTAGCATTGATTTTTTCCCAGGGCATTTGAGCAGGATTTTCACCTCTCCAAGAACCAACCTGTTCATCGTAGTAAAAAGCTACTTTTTCACCGACATCGTTGCTGAGTTTCTGAATCGTTGCCATGTACTTCATTAAGCATGGCGAATGTGATGGGGATTTTTCACAATACACTGCTACAAAAACATGAAAAGCGTTCATCCACTGTTGGAGGGATTGGAAGAAATACTTGTGCTCCTTTTGAAGGAAGGTAAATGAATTATCATTTCCTTGCACAGCTTCAAGCTTGGGAGAGGTTTGCTTGAAAGTACAATTTTAGGCAAACATTAATTTACACAGTTAGCACTGCATTGAGTTGGTATGATCTAATTTAATTAAGTTACACCCTTAAAGCCATTCCTAATGGAATGCACTGGATAATATAAAATTTGGGTAGCACCAAATATCTACATCTAGGGTTTACATTCACATTTTACACAAACATGATAATTTACACAGTTACCATTGTTTCACTGTTACAAGCATTTGAGATAGAAAGATATAGTTTTCTTAATTCAAACTTTTAAAAGCCAGCCTTGATGGAATGTACTGGATGATAAAATACTTGGCTAGCACCAAATATCTTCATCTAAGATTTTATATATTGACTTCTCAGTGAGCCCTATTTGTAAATGCCTGTGTTATAATTACTCAAACTTCAGTTCAGCAGAGCTAACACTCTTGTCTGTTCTGTGTTGCACTTTCAAGGCTGCAAAATTAAGGAACAAAATTAATACATGTAGACATGTGACTTGCATAATGCACCCAATATTTTAGTCACTTCAGGGTGACCTTCTCCCACAGATTCATGGAATATTTGTTAGCAATAAAAGTTTTAATCTGTTTTAAAACCGAAGAATTAAAGTTGAACTTATTTTTCATAAATGCCTTTGATAAAAGTTTTAATTTGTTTTTAAAGTTGAACTTATTTTACATAAATTCCTTATCTGTCTGTCATTTCCACACACCTGGAACACTGCAAACTTTGGACAAAACCAAAATTAACTTATTTTACATAAATTCCTTATCTGTCTATGTCATTTCCACACACCTGGAACACTGCAAACTTTGGACGAAACCAAAATTAACATTTTCAAAGTGTTGTATATGGTCCACCTCCTGACATTTCATAGCATTCACTGTAATGTCCTTAAATCTAAAACACAATTATTCTGTACTCTCTCTCTCTCTCTCTCTCTCTCTCTTCTAGTGAATGCAAAGGGGCTTGCAACCCTAATACCCCCCCCCCCCCCCACTCTGGATCCGTCACTTTGAATGCATAGTAAATTACACATGAATCAAAATTAGATGTTTATACACTGCATTCTTTTCCTTGAAAATTGCATTCTGTCCTATAATCTATTATATAATGCCGCATTGTTTTTTTAGGTAAAGAATTCAAATCTTAGATTTACACACTACATTTACATATGGATATATATAACATTTACACCTGTAATACATTGTAAAAAGGCTTAAATTCAATACTCAATATTTATTTTATTTTCTTATTTCAGCTATATTATTAGGAAGTTGCAGATTTTCGAAATACAGATTGCAATATGACGAAGATGATTTTAGGTTGAAGACTGTTAAATACTATACCTATGTTTACTGCAGTGGTCTCTGTGACTATGTACTCGAGACTTGTGACTACGTGTACAACATTACAGTCTGTAGTATATCTGCCGCATCACTTTTTTTCTCTTTTATATGCATTACAATTTTAGGTCTTTGATTATAGACTATTTTTTTAATTTGTTTTCAGGATTATTGGGTCCATAATATGCATAGTCTTGGCTGTTTAGCTGGCCTTCCAGTTTTAGTCTATTTGTATAGGAGTGGCTTGCGTTTGTGCACGGCAATGTAGAAGTCCGGGGCAGGTTGTTTATACCAGTCGTCAGGGAAACACAGCTGTCGCATACAGCAATCGTAAGTTCCTTATTATATTCATAGCAAAGGTATTATTCTAAATGGATTCTAAATGGAATGAGGGTTATTAACAAATTTGAGGAATTTTAAAGATATGACATTACCACTTAGTCTATTAATATTGAGTGACCGCTGTGCATAAATATGAAGACTTCTTAATACATATGGATAAACCTATTGATAAGAAAGAAATTAAAACATTTAGAACAAGAACGTTTTATTCTTTTAATTTTTTTTTAAAAACTTCATCATTTCTTTTTTTCTTTTTTTTAATAAAATTTCTGCAGCCACAATATCCAGTTGCAGTTCAGCTGTCCGTTTATACAGTTTCTTCAATGAACGAAAACAGCAAACCTCACTAACAGGAGAGTGACGTAAAATAATAATAATAATAATAATAATAACAATAACAATTATAAGATAACCTAATTGAAAATAAGAGACTTATTGTCTTAATAATATGCTGACAAGACATAATCTCATTTTAAAAATGTTAATACTCTTCTGTTTGTTGCTTGTATTTTCAAACTATTGAAAAACTACTGGAAGAAAACTCTGTAAATGAGTAAGAATGTTTAAAAACAAACTCATTGCTAAGAATACTTTACCAAAGTGTGATTCATTCAAAGAAAATCATGTACTATTTAACATTATTTTTTGATAAATTTTTAACAGAGATTTTCAGTCCTTGTTAACGTAAAAAAAATGTTAAATATTGATGCCTTTTATTTCATGTAAATTCATTAAACTTTATACATGATCCTCATTTCATTTTGTGATTTCCTATTATGTGTGAATTCAATCTATAAAGTAATATTTTTATCGAACATGTCTTTGTAAAAAATATCTTTGCTCAAATTTGTTATTTTTTTTTTTATTTAAAGGTACGTTATAGACAATAAAAAATCGCTAATAAAAAATTTCCAGTGGGAAATTCATAATGTGATAAGAACTACGCACGCTAACTCTCGATTCCCGCCTACATTTTACACCCATTTAATTCAATACTAATGACAATTTGGAAATGAAATCTTTGTTGAATACAAAGAAGAGTTCAATGGTAATTGATTTATGATTTAAACACCAGAATTAAATAGATAATTACTCTTAATTCCAGCTTTTTTATGAGGGGGTAGACGATATTTTCCATGGAAATCATACTTGAAAGCATCAGCATACTTTAAAATATGTTTGGGTATGGATAAATGTTCTTAAAATCTTTCCTTATGTTTTTGCATATAAAATTAAACATCTGTAATTAACAAAATACAACGTTAAAGTTGTAAACCCCTTCGAAATTGGTGAAAAAATGAGCATTTTTGTCGTGTTTTGTCTGTAAACATATGTCCCCCCCCCCCCCCCGTGAAACACAAAAACCTTTGGTGTGAATTTGTGAAATAACAATCCATATTACCCGTAAAAAGGAATTTTTGTTTCACGAGGGGGGGGGGGGGGGAGATGTTTTAAAAAAATTTCCGTTTTCCGTTGATTTCTATAGTGAAATTACCAGTTTTACCAAAATTATGGATTGATCTTTCTTTGTTTTCCAAAATGAGTAATGTTTTATGAAAATTCATATAAATATCTATATAAATAGGAAAAATCATTCAAATATGTTAACTTTTGAAAATTGATTTGGAGGTAGGCGGGAGAACAATACTATCGTTCGCAGTTCTTTAATCAAATAGCCAAATAATAAATAAATCAAGTAAGTAATCATCTAAATGTTCAGAATTGTCGAGTACTTTTTTCAATTCATTAGAACTGTTCAATAGTATTTGAAGAAGCCAAAAAATCTCTGTTACTGAGTGAACTATTTAGATACAGATCTTCTATGGTCATTGAGAACAGGTCCCTTCCCAAGTGAACAGGAATTCTTAATTGTTAGAAATTTCATAGACCGCTATGGCGCGGGTTCGAATCCCACTGCAGGACGTAGACGTCTTTCGGATGAGATCGTATAAACTGAGGTCCCGAGTCGCAATAGGTGCTGGCAGGATAAATATCCCTCACTGCTCAATGGCCCTGAGTGCCGAGTATAGGTATAAATTTGCAGCCCTCTACCAGCAAGAGTTGGCGTCTCCATATGAGTGAAAATTCTCGAGAAGGGCATTCAACACACAAACAAACAATCGATAAATAGATCTTACCTCTCGTGGTGTGTGTCTTTACTGATGCTTTGGGTGTTGCATGTGACCTGAATTATCTGGATGATTTTACTCAAATCCATCTCTTTTCATCTATTGGATTGCTTGCATGTACGGTAAATTTTTTCCTAGATTTAATATAAATAAGCAATTCATTGCATGAATGTTCAGCAGATATGAAGTTTTTACTCATAGAAAAATCACATTCTAGGATGAAGAAAGCTTTGTATCTCCTAAAAGTCAGTCAATACATGGTTATTGCCACCCATCCTTGAATTATGTTATTCACTTCGGATTTCGATTTAAAATAATAAGTTTCCTCGCCGAAATGACTTTGAAAAAGAAGGTCGGGGCATTGAAACAATGATAATCATCGGTTATTCTTTTTCAAATTGTTTCTTTACAGGGAGATTTTGAGAACATGATAAGATATTAATTATTTTTTTTTAAAAAATTATGTTTTTTTAATTTCAATTCGTGAACGATCAACTTGATTGCTCTATCATTTAGTTAAGTAGAAGCGGTCCTACATAGTGACGTTTGGTTAAACTATAGCAGATGAAGGCAGTGCGGGGGGGGGGGGGGGCTACATATTCAAAATTTACACATAGAAATGTCGTAATAATAAATCTATTTGTTATCTATCATCATTTTTTAGAATAAAATTGCACGTGCCAGTCTAAATTTACAAACTGCCAACTTTATTTCCAAATAAGTTTGTTAAAACGTTTGCTTTAGACAGATAATCGAAAGAGGACAGTAATGGGCTATACGGTATCGCATGTATGGTGAAATATTGGGTCTATATTTTCAATTACAAGTAACTGAATATATTTATATACATTTCAAAAATATCATGAATTTTCAATTACATTTCAATTACAGTTCAAATACGTTATTTTTCAAGTTACATATTAAAAAAGGTGAATTATCATAATGCATACCAGTACTGGTTGACATGAGTTTATGTTTATTCAATAACTAAATGCCTTAGAATGTTTATACAGAATAAACGCACTGCCCAGTGCAATAGGAAAGGTAAAATTTTATAATAATGCTGCTTCAAAATATGCATGCATTTGTTCTCTTTTTTTTTTTTGGAAATGAAACTAAAGTAATTGATATGTATTTAATAACATTCTTCAAAGTAATTGAGAGTAATTAATTACATTCGTTAAAATCAATGTAATTGCAATTGCAAGTAACTGACAAAATTATCAATGTAATTGAAAGTATTTAATTGCATTTAAAAGTAATTGACCCCAACCCTGCTTGTGCCTCTTGTTCTTAAGAAAAATTGATATTTTGAGAGTTTGAATGGAGGACCGAGGAATTTAAACTGACTCGTTAGGTCCCTACTTCCCTACTTAACTATACACCAGGTTTCAAGAACCATTAGTTGAGGCCATAAAAGTGTTAGTTTGCTCTTCCGAACGACTAATTGAAAATGGCCAAAAACACTTTCTTATACCTCCGAGAAAGATTTTTTTCTTCTATCTGTTATACCTAA